ACGATAGGTCGCGCTCGATTCTGCCGCTAAGAGATAGCTATTCGGAGCAGCACCAAAATATTGCTTGGTATCTGACTACGCTTGTTCGACCAGCCTGGCTTACAGCAGCTCAATTTCGTATAGTTATCAAAGCTTCGAAGAACTTCAGTGTTAGAGATAGATGTTTGTGGAGGAATGCTGACAAAGCTTATTCTCAACCTCGACTTGTTCTCGACACCAGAGAGCAACAGCTGACAGTTATTTGTGCCTTGCACGACCAATCCGGACATGCTGGAAGAGAGAGCACGTACGCTAGAGTAGCCAACCGGTACTGGTGGGATGGATGTTACATTGACGTCAAGACTCATGTGGATCAGTGCAGACAATGCCAGTTGCGTAGCAAGTTGAGAGTTGAGGAAGCTCTCCATCCTCAGAAAGCGGTTCCCTTGTTTTGGCGTATTAATTTCGACTGTATCAAACTGCCAGACTATAGAGGATATAATACGCTCTGCATTGCGAGGTGCGATTTCTCAGGATGGCCGGAATGGAAGCCGATGAAGAATCCTACCTCTAAGATGGTTGCCGAATTTCTCTGGGAGATTATCTGTCGGCATGGTTCCTTTTACCAGTGCTCTGTCGACGGTGGGCCCGAATTCCGTGGAGATGTTATTACCCACTTGAAGAAGCTTAGCATCAATAGGGTACAGATCTCCCCGTACAATTCGAAAGCAGCTGGCATGATTGAGCAAGGCCATCAAGCGGTGATCAGAGCATTGATCGCTTTGACTGAGGGTGGCAAGAAACCTTGGCTTCCGTTTTGCAATGCTGTCTTCTTTGCTGAGAGGACTACGGTTCATAAGCCCACCGGGTACACTCCATTCTACATGGTTTACGGAAGGGAAGCTGTTCTACCCATCGAGACCGAGTTTAGCACTTGGCGAACGCTCGATTGGAACAAGGTTAATGATAGGGCTGACTTGCTGGAGCTTAGAGCCCGAATGGTTCAGATGCGGAATGAGGATATGGAGTCGGCTATGTTGAAGAAAGATAGGCACCGTCGCCGAAACATGGATCGATTCAACACCATTCACCCGCTGAAAAAGGAGCTCATCAACGTTGGAGACAAAGTGCTACTATACGATATCTTCAAAGTTGACAAAGACATGTCTCGAAGTGTCAAGCTCAACTACAGGTGGCTTGGTCCGTTCAAAGTCAGTTCTGCAAACCATGGAAAAGGGACGTACGAATTGCAAGAGTTAGATGGAGTCGACAAGAAAGGCACTTTCGCTGGCAACAGATTGAAGAAGTTCGTTGAAGAGTCTGGTTACTGGTATTCGATCAACGATAAGCCTGAAAAGAGTATAGAGAAAAGTGGAGCTATTCCCTTCGTCTAGTCTAATGACGAAGAGGAACCTTACGTCCTTCCGCGTACACGCCAAGAAACCAGGAAAGATACTAGGCAAGTCGTCAGAGTACCTATTCCTCAGGTCCAAATACCGACACTCTCTCAAACGCAAAGAGACCAATACATCAGGTTCGAAGACGACTAGGATGAGGAAGCCGAGCTCTCAGAGTAGACTTTGGGAATATCTTATGGTGGGACGGAGTCTCGCCCACCACCCTCTTTCAGAACCAGTTCCCTTCCGAGCTCCGGGACGAGCTCTATCTTATGGGGGGACGAGACCTCCAGGTGCCTCTTTTACTTTTGTTCTCCTACGTCTGTCGATACTCGTTCTTTTTGCAAACTCCTGTTGCTCAAGACTTCTTCATGTTCCCCTTCCTGTACAAAAACGATTACACTCAACTGCTTAGTCTCTTCTATATGAGGCCGTCTCTTCACCCGCTTTTTTAAGACATTACACTCCCTATTACCTTGTTCCTTTTCTTTATTTTCTTTTTCGAATTTTACCATGTAGCTTGCCTAATAATTATTATATTCTTTTTATTTCTAAAAAAAAAAAAAAATTTAGTTTCTTTGTTTGTTTGTTAAAAATGCGTGCGGGAGTTATTTGTAACACTTTCTTTATCCGTCTCTCCTTTGAAATTCAACATTTCTTGTCTTTTTACAAGCGCTCTTTCAACAAGTTTAAGTTTGTGGTTGAGGAGGAGGCCAGCCTAGGAACGCTAGTCTTCCCTAGCGCTATACCATATCGGGTATAGTGGCACATTGTTTGCTTCTTCCACCAAACCCCAAAACTCGCCATTCTTTTCAAAACCTATCCTACAACTGCAACTACAGAGACTACACCAAGCACCGAGCGCTCTACGCACGTCTAAGAACACGTCTTGTCTTTGTTTTCGAATCCTATCGACTTTCCGCACAGAAATAGCGAGTCTAACCCTCTCGAAATTCACTATGTCCTCCAACAGCCAACAAATCGAACGTTTCGCCATCGCGGCACCTCAAAATGGCGAGTTCTCTATGAAGAAGATGACGGACGAGGAGATCAGCGTTAACCTATTCACCAAGGGCCAGATGAAGGTGAAGGAGGCGTTTGAGTACTTGAAAACGTTGGCTCCTCCGGAACGCTTCGCTGAAGCTATGCATATCTGCTCTCAGTTTGACTACGCTCGCTGGACGTACGAGAATGCGTACGTAAGGGTTGGAGACGCGCTGTTGGAAGAAGCTGGCTTTGACGTAGATACAATCAAAGAGTTGAAGGCCACCCGTCCGATCTTCTTCGGTCTCCTGAACGACATTAAGACGAACCAAAATGCCTCCGAGGTTGCGTTTTCGAGCCTCAAGGCTACTCTGCTTGAGAGACCGAAAGCTGTGAGTGGTTGCCCTACCAAAGTCTACAAAAGAGCCGAGAAGTTCTTCGACTACCTTCTCACCACCGCTTGGATGGGCAAAGGGTTTTACAACGCTCTTGCTGGTTTGTTTCGAGTAGCGGACTTACCTCCCCGAAGCGCTATCTTGTTGCTCAATGCAGAGATCCTCGCCCGTGTTGTTAGTCACCCCCTTGCAGTCAGCAGGCACGGTCATTTCGTCGCGCCCGTTATCACTGCTGCGAAAAATAGAGTGTTCAGTCGTCTTGGGCACAACTCTGCAAGAGAACTTCGATTCAGCCCATACAACCGAAGCTTCCTGAGAAGCTACGAGCTTAAGTTTAATGAAGCGGGGCTCTTGCAAAAAGGGAATGTTGGTGACAATGAGGGGTTTCCTGAATTCGACGACGAGCCTATTGGCTCGAGCAATGCTTGGCTTCCTGTGTTGATACATGAGGATGAGTTGGATCGACCCGACACGCCCCCTCTTCTTGTTGTTCCTGTTACACCCACACAGACAACACGAACTCTGAGGGAAAGGGATGAGACAAAGAAGGTCTTGAGTACGTCCAAGACGGCAGATGAGACGCCCACAGCACCAGCGAGCAGGCTCCCAGCCAAACGCAAGAGACGAGCAGCACCTCGACAGCGCGCTCAAACTGTCGAGGGAGAAGAGGATGAAGAAAGCGACAGTAGTGAAGATAGCAGCGAGAAGGGTTCCCCTATCTTTGCAGGCCTTGTTGAGCGTAAGGACAAATCTCCTTCGCACCCTGCAACAGACGTTAGCCTTCAGCGGGAATCGTCACTTTCCGATACTTATCACAGCCTTGCTGCGGGCGGTGACGATGACTTTGGTCTTGACAATGACGATTTCGAACCCTTTCTCGGAGACGGTCCCTCTGCGAATGAGTTTGTTGTTAGATCTCCTGAGCCCTTGCCTAACGATGGCGATCAGTACGACTGTCTCTCTCTTGACAACATTTCCATCCCCTCTATGGCACCGCAAAGCGCGCGACCTATAACTGTAGAAGTCATCTCTGAGGTTGGACGATGGTTCAACCCTACAGTTCCTGACTCTAGGGGTCGAGTCTCTGGCCAGAAAGGTGGAAACATTGTGCCCAAACTTCTTGACGAATTCAAAATGCTCAAGTTTCATTGTGCTGAACGACCTAACCAACCTGAGGCTCAAGAGGTTTTGCACAACTCTGCCTTTAGTCTGACGGCCCAGATCTTGTGGTCTCAACCGAGATTGTGGACAGAGTTTAGAGCTCGTCTGCCTTCACAGCCTGAGCACCTTGTCGCTCGTCCTCTTCCTGCTATCCGCGGAAAAGGCCATGTTCCTTTTGACTCCAGTCTATTGTCACGGACTCTGCTACGGTCTGATTTTAAGTCACTAGGTCCAGTCATTGGCTTCTTTCTCCTCACGGAAGGCCATTGTTCAGCTGTTGCGCAAGCGATTCCGAGAAGTGAGAGTCTGGAAGATGGAGAAGAAAGAGAGTCGGAAGGACTTCCCGTGCCTTGCAACCCCCTCGACTTTATCATTTTTACCGACTTCGTGGGTCAGATATCGTTGAAGATCTTCTTTGACAGTCCTCGTCCTTGGATTGTTGTTCCTATACAACTACTCCCTGTTTATAACGGAGTTGTTGGGAGAGGTGGCAGCTGCACGCCTAGTCTCTCTCAAACCGCGAGAAGTTTCGAAACCAAAACCCCTGCTTTTGGTAGAGTTACGACGAGCCCGAAGTATCAAGTTAGAATCCCTGAGCTTGACGCTTTCGACGGTATGATTAGAGGAAATCTGATGATGGACGATCCCCTCCTACGAGTTACTCTTGCGGAATGGATGCAGTGCGAAGTCCTTAGTCCAACGATCTCCAGCAAAAAGCTTGTTGGAGAACGTCGAGCTCGACTGAGAGAGCTGGTGCGGGAATACTATACGAAGATTGTGACAATTGAGATGACTTTGTACGGTGTGAACTCTTACTTTGCCAATCCAAAAGGCAAACAAGCTGCTATTCCTACTCCGGCCCTAACTGCTGCAACTGGAATTGGAGACCCCGGACCTTCGACCGAGGCTTCTCACAGGGCTGAAAGTCTTAGGCTAGGAGACGTGAGGGCTGGAGAATCTGAAGAGTCTGAGGGATACGTCTAGTCCCGAAGGAGGCTACGAGTCGGGAAGGGGAAGGTCTTGAGATTGTGGAGAAACTGTTGGGTTGCTTTTGCGTTTGTTTAGCCCTTGTTTTTGTTAATTTAAACTGCTTCTTTTTTATTTTTCGCAAGTCCTGGGACGGACTTATCTTATGGG